TATGCCCCATAATACCGGCGCTATGTTTTTTTTATTTATTTTGTGCATTGGTGGGCCGCATTTTACATTCATAATGCATATCGCAGGCTGTTCTAAAACTAGGCTACTTGCAGACTGCACCGTTAACCATTTGTTTAGGCTACACCTTGTTCAGTCATGTTAACTCATTAGCTAGCTACAGCTAACAACCTGTGGTGCGTTCAGCAGGATGCAACATTTTGAACGTTCAGATAGAAATATTATATGTAGAACAAACATGCCTCTCTGACATGTTGAATGAGGAATAACGTTGGCTCTATTCATGGCATTTCTATCTGCAACATTCAAGAACGTTTTGCAACTGAACGTGGCCCTGGTAACATTACTAGTAGCCTATATGCAAACAGTTTGTGGCACAGAAAGAAAGAAAAATGGATAGCAAACAATTTATTGACTAAATCCCTCTTGCCACTACACTATATCTTTATATTGAGTTAATGTGGACCTAGTGACTCAGACTTGAGCACTTGGACCAGGACTCAAGCACTGGGACTTCAGTCATAGGGGACTCGTAACTCAACTCGTGACTCAACCATTGGTGAATCCGGCTTGGACTCGGACTCGAGCACAGGGGACTTGGGACTCGAGGTTTAGTGACTCGACTACATCACTGGGTGAAACAGTCATTAGCTCCCGTTCATAGTCAATAGCCTCTGTTCTACTTCTGGACCTCAATGTGGCTGCGGTGTCTGTGGAACGTTGATAACAATGACAATGACGTGACCGAGTGATGGAGGTGCAACCCACACTACTTTGCGACACCATCTGGTGATTGCCCTACCCTCAAGCGTGTGTGTCTGTTTTTTCAAATGTAATGTGCAATATCTGTGTAGGCTGAATTAGGAATTTGCATGGCCAGATAATTATTATATATTCTTATATACACTACCAGTCAATGGACACACCTCAAGGGTTTTTCTTTATTTTTCCTATTTTCTACATTGTAGAATAATAGTGAAGATGTCAAAACTATGAAATAACACATATGGAATCATGTAGTAACCAAAAACGTGTTAAACAAATCAAAATATATTTTATATTTGAGGTTCTTCAAATAGCCACCCTTTGCCTTGATGACAGCTTTGCACGCTCTTGGCGTTCTCTCAACCAGCTTCACCTGGAATGCTTTTCCAACAGTCTTGAAGGAGTTTCCACATATGCTGAGCACTTGTTGGCTGCTTTTCCTTCACTCTGCCATCCAACTCATCCCAAACCATCTCAATTGGGTTGAGGTCGGGGGATTGTGGAGGCCAGGTCATCTGATGCAGCACTCCATCACTCTCCTCCTTGGTAAAATAGTTCTTACACAGCCTGGAGGTGTGTTGGGTCATTGTCCTGTTGAAAAACAAATGATAGTCCCACTAAGCCCAAACCAGGTGGGATGGCGTATCGCTGCAGAATGCTGTGGTAGCCATGCTGGTTAAGTGTGCCTTGAATTCTAAATAAATCACAGACAGTGTCACCAGCTAAGCACCCCCACACCATAACACCTCCTCCTCCATGCTTTACGGTGGGAAATACACATGCGGAGGTTATAGCTATGGCTAAGGTTAGGGTTTAGCCGGGGTGTGGACATTAAGCTAAGTTTAGGTTTATGGCTAAGGTTAGGGTTCAGCCGGGGTATGAAGCAAGGATTAGGGTTAGGGCTGACCCAGGATGTGGACATAAAGCTAAAGTTAGTGTTATGGCTAGGGTTAATGGATAGTAAGTTAAAATGTTGTTGACAGTTGAACATCTACTGAACATCTTCAAACTATTAATTTAGGACTATCCAAATAAAGTGATAACGTTCAGGTTTGTTGTAAACTAGAGTTGTGGTCCTGCTGACTGAACCCAGACCACACTCAAAACTTTTCAGAGAGTGAAGTGAAGGTACCTGCTTGGATGAGTTTGACAGCGAAGCTGCGGACAGCAGGGATGTCCCCGTGTAGCTCAGTTGGTAGAGCATGGCGCTTGCAACGCCAGGGTTGTGGGTTCGTTTCCCACGGGGGGCCAGTATGAAAATGTATGCACTCACTAACTGTAAGTCGCTCTGGATAAGAGCGTCTGCTAAAATGACTAAAATGGAAAAATGGAAAATGGATGTACTGCTTCTCTGTAAGGCCCTCACTGGCCTCCTCACATAGGTACTGACACACCACATACAGAGGACACACACACACAGGAATTCAACGCCACAGCCACTGAAAAACACAGAGTGGCACTATCCAGAGGAATGTGTAAGTGGAGTGCCGATTTGTAGACACCCAGTAGTAACACTATAATATGACAATGCTCTGGTTATCGAGCTCCCTCTACTGGAGACTGAGCATGAAACAAGTTCATATTTCACAATATAGGCAAGACAGTTTGCCACTGTGAAATGCATTTGAAGCTTTTTGGACCTCTATCAATGTCCACAATACTGCTCAATCATCAGGTCACTACAAGTCTCTTGAGCGCTTTGAGTGAAATGTAAGAAAAGTGTTATAAACTATTACAAAGCTATCATGAAGTACAATGCTCAGATAAAAGCTTTACATAAGTGCTAGACAGAGGGTCAGTGTACCTGGTATCTTTATAGGAATGGTTCCAGCAAGCCATTGAAGAAGGAAAGTAGGGGTTGACCTCTGTGTCATCACTATGTCCTGATGCAGCATCTGAACAGCACCAGTCTTCACCAACAGGTAACACGCCTCCTCAAAGTCCTGCAGGGATATTCACCACAGGCTGTTGACAACATGTAAACTATATTTGAAAACATAAATACAGTTGTGCAATGAGCACTTGTTATCTCTCAAATACATCATTACAGTTGTTGGTTAGCTAGCTAGCGAAGTAGCATATACATGACATCAGGCAAAACACCTCAAAACAAGACATGCATCAATAATAACAAAATATACAATGAGCTGAAACAAGCCACCTATCATTTCCCACATGGCAGCTTCTTGTCATTGTTGCTAGCTATCTGACTGTTCAGAATCATAACGCACGCCTTCCAGCCACTGATATATATATATATATTACCTGGACAGTGTCCACAGGACAGAGGATGAAAGAGACATTTTTCATTTAATTAAATTGAAAAACACACATTCAAAACCTCAGCCATGTATACTAGCTAGCACCCTATTGGGATGACATGAAAGCAGGTATATTGAGTGGAAACAAACTGGGACTATACATTTTATTTCAACCCTAATAAAATAGTTCTAATAAGCATCTTCGGGTCCATGAAAAGCGCTATATAAAACCTGTTTATTATTATTAATGAGAGCAGAGTTAGCCTACAGCCAGGCACTCACCCTTCTTGGAGGAGGCTGAGGTGTGCATGGCCACAGCCAGCATAGCAGGCCAGAGGAACACGTGGAGGACCTGCTTCCTGTAGGAAGCACAGGAGAGCACGTTGACGGCCCAGTTAAAGAGAGCCTCCTCTGGGGTCACCGGGCCCTGGGGCTCCCCCACCACCAGACTAACCCGGCCCCCTGAGACACACACCAAACTCCTATGAAGAGCCAGGCTGGACGACACCACCTTAGCTGTGGGAGCATGGTCTGGAGGAGAGAGCGTAATGACAGAGACAACGAGAGACAGATAGAGAAAAGAAAAGAGAGTCAGACAAAGTGACAAGGTGACACGAGGCCCAGCAGTGAGCTCCGTCTGGACGGCACGTACAAAGTGTCTAACTGAGACGATCCTTCAGACACAACATCCTGTCACAACACCAGTCACTTATTAAGGATGGCAGGTGACGTCCCCAGAGCAGTGACAAGGGACTCACATCTGAGGCCTTGAAGGGCCGTGAGAGCACCATCTGGCTCTGGTTAGCAAGCCGAGAGGTTCACACTGAGCTAATTATAGAGATAGCTAGCTCAGTCGCTCATACTTAAACAGTTTTTATTTTGACATCAAAGTGAACTGGATATCAAACATCATATTGCATCAGGAGCAATAGGTGTAATAAATCATACGAGTCCAGTCAAAGTCAATGAGTGAACTGAGATTCTGAACTATCAGATGGATAAAAATGTTTAGGGCTCCTGAAACACTTTTGTCCGAGAAAGACCTCGGCAAGGAAATTAAGATTCATTTCCTGGCTAAATTCCAATACGACCATATTGCAATCAACACCCTGATTACATATCTTGGGTTTTTGTGGGGCAGTTTTTTGAAAAGATAATTACATTGCCTTTGATTACATTCTAAAGCAATGTGTATGACATTGCTTGTTGCCTGGAGTGGCACCAGATGTGCTGCATTTAAATTTAGGCTAAGTTGTGCTGAGGCTACATCAATGACAAAACACTAAGCAACAGCATCAAAGAGCTTACTGTATCATTTGAGGTCAACAGGATAGTTAAAGCCAGAAGCACAATCAATGTGGAGTTAAGAGTGAGTTAGGGTTAAAAGGAAGAGTTACACTGGGATCAATGTGCATTGCCTATGGATGGGTGTGGATCCTACCAGGCCAGTCCAGGAAGGACAGGGCCTCGGCGCCAGAGGGTCTGCTCTGTCTGTCAGCACAGACAGCTCCAGGCCCTCCAGGTTCTGCAGGAGGAGGGAGGCCATCAGGACACAGGGCTTCAGCTCCATGTTGTCCTCCTGCAGATGCACTACCCTGTAGGCTGTGTCGTTCAGAATCTACTGGGTCTCCTCCATGGGCTTCACAGGGATGTGTCTGTAACAGGATAGGACTCAGTTAGGAGGACCAGTGATTAATGAAGAACATGACGAATCAACTCAAATTAAACAGGGTCTCAATTCAACAACAAAAAATAACAAAAACTGAGAGAAAAATACACTTAAGTATTAGTGGAGAGAGTTATGAGTTATCGAAAGTTATGAGTGTAAGGTTTGTCCTAAATAGCCGGCGCTGCAGACTGCTATATTGGTCCGCTAATACAGGAGTATTTAAGGCCCAGTGCACTACTTCTGTGAAATAATATATTTTTCTAAAATATATATATTTCCTTTTTTATTCAGATTTTTGCAGGGGTTGCTGCAGCACCCTCAGCACCCCTACTTCCCGCGGCTATGATGACAGGCAGGGCAAGGTCATAGGGGTGCAGAATGTAGGACATCAACAGGAAGTCCATGTAACTACGGTGACTGGGGCGCAGCACCACCGGATGCTCCTGGATGGCCTGTTGGAGCTGAAGAAATTAAGAATGTGTGGATATGAATTAACTTTATTAACAGGGCAAAGAGTTAATATCCCACATGCCCCATAATCCTTAACGTACTACTTTGCATTACATTTATAACAAAACTCAGAATCAGAATAGTTGCTTTAACACATTAAACTAATCTGATGAGGAAATGAGCTACCGTTTTTTATTGAAGGCAGGGCCACTCACTCTCTGGATACCCTCCTCGTTAACACATACATTTTGTAAGAGCGTTTTGAAGGCCTTACTGAGGGTGAAGGCAAAGAAGCGGACAGTGCTGATCTGGAGCCGGTAGGCCATCTCCTCCAGAATGACAGAGGCCTCTTCCTGGATGATGTCAGGAGCCTCGCCAGACTCTTGTGACACCTGGGCATGATCATCAACCAGAAGGCAGGGGTTATGAATAATACATGTATTGCCTAACCCCAAAGACAGTTTCAGAGAAAGTTGTCAAGACATTAGTCATTGGTGTTCAAACTGGTTTAAACACTGAAGGGAAGGAATTAACCCTTTAGTGATAAGGTCAAGTATGACCCTGCATGCAAAGCAATCACAAAGTTACATTCCTGCACACTTTGATCAACACATTTTGTCATCTACATATGTAGACAAAAATTGTGGATCAGAGGGGTCGAGATGTCACTGTGGTGTGAGGCACAATAGAAAAACTGAGATTGTAACACTTCACAACATATAACAACCATGACAACCTTTGCACATGCGGCCAATGGTATTGATTACCTACCTGATTAATCACATAGTGTAGCTGATCAGAATTGACAATATTCTTGAGCATGTTTGCTCTTCCAAAATGTCTTCATAGTCATCACTCTTTTTAGCGTCGGGTCGCTTTGCTGTAACGATACAAACACAAGAATGGCAGCTACATTTGTTGTCAAATCCGAGCAAAAAGTCGAATGAGCAGTAGATGGCGCGCGCGAGAATGATGCAACATCATTGCGCGAGCCAACACAATCGAAAGAGAAGAAAATGTTCAAGCGAGCAGAGGACGGGTCCAGCGAGGGCACAGGCCAGTCAAGAGCGCAAATTACATTTGAGAGTTTGCCACTACTGCTTGAAAGTGTGACTTTGAGCGAGCAGAACTTCATTGTCACAGATAAAAAATATAAACATGTCTTAAACAGTACGTATATAACTGTAAGCAAGGAAACGTGATTCAAACGTGTAAAACAAATATTTGAACGCATTAAATTGTCCACCAGCAATAGTCACTTGTTTTGTCAGGTTTTCACTCTCAATTTATCAAATTGCTCTCTCAAGTCTTGGCACCTTGGGTTTGGATTTCAGGCTGATTGAGGGCGGCCTTACAGACGGGTGCGTGTCTAGAAATCTTAGATTGGTCACTTTCACTGGAGTGATGGACGAACAAAAAAAATGCCTGCCATTGGCCCGTCCAGTGTTGTGATTGGCTATTACGAGTTTTCTGTTTGCAATGCACTGCAGAGCCGTCTGTTTAGCTAGCTAGACTTGTTGAGCAGTAATTGCCGAACGACTTGTGAAACCCAGCAGCTTGATAACCTAATTAATTGGGAAATAAATTCTAATAGGTATACTATACCTTGCGTTTTGGAATCTACTAGCTAAACTTAGCTAGCGTTTTACTTGTTAGCCAGTTAAATGAAAAGCAGACAGTCAGCTTTAGCAAACACCATAAAACGAGGCCACTACGTTAATAGAGCTACCGCGTTTTATTGTCAGACTCAGGACATGAAGGCAGGGCCAGTCACTCTCTGGATACCCTCCTCGTTAACACAAGACATTTTGCAGACAGTCAGCTTTAGCAAACACCATAAAACGAGGCCACTACGTTAATTGCAGGCAGGAGCCAATATTTAGGGTATTAAACCCAAGGAAGGACACACAGCACATGGGGATTTTGAATTATATGAAGACACAAATGGGAGAATCTGCTAGCTGCTACCGTTCATCCAGTACATAACCAGTACCAAATAATGAAATGTAAACTGACATGATAAACCAGCTAAATTAAGGTTAACATGTCAGAATCAGGTTTATTTGCCAAATACATTTGCATGTACAGGAATTTGACTGTGAAATGGTGCTGCCACAATATACAGACAAAAATTATAGAATTTCCACATACAGTGTGTACACTATGAACACTATAAGCAGCCTAGTGGTTAAGTGCGTTGGGCCAGTAACCGAAAGGTTGCTGGTTCGAATCCCGAGCCGACTGAAAAATCTGTCGATGTGCCCGTAAGCAAGGCACTTTACCCTAATTGCTCCTGTAAAATGTAAACAAATAAGTAAAATTATGCATTTCAATGTGCAGTTATGGGATGATAGTGCAGGGTGCAGTCTGTGGATGCATTGTGCAAAGTCCATGGATGAGAGGACCGGGTGGACGGTTGGTGAGGAACATGGCACGGGGGAAGAAACGGTTCAGGTGGCGGGAGGTTTTGGACGCAGTTGACCTGAACTTTTTTGCCAGAGGGGGTGGAAGGGGTCAGCGATGATCTTTCCTGCACACTTCCTTTATTATTATAATTTTTTTTTAAATGTTTAGGGGGTAGATCAGCTTTAATATTGCAGATAGATTGTAACTTCCATCAATGTAATTGTCTGCATCACTTCTAATCCCCCATATGTTTTTTTTCTCTCGCAAATATATATATATATATATATACACTGCTCAAAAAAATAAAGGGAACACTTAAACAACACAATGTAACTCCAAGTCAATCACACTTCTGTGAAATCAAACTGTCCACTTAGGAAGCAACACTGATTGACAATACATTTCACATGCTGTTGTGCAAATGGAATAGACAACAGGTGGAAATTATAGGCAATTAGCAAGACACCCCCAATAAAGGACTGGTTTTGCAGGTGGTGACCACAGACCACTTCTCAGTTCCTATGCTTCCTGGCTGATGTTTTGGTCACTTTTGAATGCTGGCGGTGCTTTCACTCTAGTGGTAGCATGAGACGGAGTCTACAACCCACACAAGTGGCTCAGGTAGTGCAGCTCATCCAGGATGGCACATCAATGCGAGTGTGGCAAGAAGGTTTGCTGTGTCTGTCAGCGTAGTGTCCAGAGCATGGAGGCGCTACCAGGAGACAGGCCAGTACATCAGGAGACGTGGAGGAGGCCGTAGGAGGGCAACAACCCAGCAGCAGGACCGCTACCTCCGCCTTTGTGCAAGGAGGAGCAGGAGGAGCACTGCCAGAGCCCTGCAAAATGACCTCCAGCAGGCCACAAATGTGCATGTGTCTGCTCAAACGGTCAGAAACAGACTCCATGAGGGTGGTATGAGGGCCCGACGTCCACAGGTGGGGGTTGTGCTTACAGCCCAACACCGTGCAGGACGTTTGGCATTTGCCAGAGAGCACCAAGATTGGCAAATTCGCCACTGGCGCCCTGTGCTCTTCACAGATGAAAGCAGGTTCACACTGAGCACATGTGACAGACGTGACAGAGTCTGGAGACGCCGTGGAGAACGTTCTGCTGCCTGCAACATCCTCCAGCATGACCGGTTTGGCGGTGGGTCAGTCATGGTGTGGGGTGGCATTTCTTTGGGGGGCCGCACAGCCCTCCATGTGCTCGCCAGAGGTAGCCTGACTGTCATTAGGTACCGAGATGAGATCCTCAGACCCCTTGTGAGACCATATGCTGGTGCGGTTGGCCCTGGGTTCCTCCTAATGCAAGACAATGCTAGACCTCATGTGGCTGGAGTGTGTCAGCAGTTCCTGCAAGAGGAAGGCATTGATGCTATGAACTGGCCCGCCCATTCCCCAGACCTGAATCCAATTGAGCACATCTGGGACATCATGTCTCGCTCCATCCACCAACGCCACGTTGCACCACAGACTGTCCAGGAGTTTAGTCCAGGTCTGAGAGGAGATCCCTCAGGAGACCATCCGCCACCTCATCAGGAGCATGCCCAGGCGTTGTAGGGAGGTCATACAGGCACGCGGAGGCCACACACACTACTGAGCCTCATTTTGACTTGTTTTAAGGACATTACATCAAAGTTGGATCAGCCTGTAGTGTGGTTTTCCACTTTAATTTTGAGGGTGACTCCAAATCCAGACCTCCATGGGTTGATACATTTGATTTCCATTGATAATTCTTGTGTGATTTTGTTGTCAGCACATTCAACTATGTAAAGCAAAAAGTATTTAATAAGATTATTTCATTCATTCAGATCTAGGATGTGTTGTTTAAGTGTTCCCTTTATTTTTTTGAGCAGTGTATATATACATACAGTGGGGAGAACAAGTATTTGATACACTGCCGATTTTGCAGGTTTTCCTACTTACAAAGCATGTAGAGGTCTGCAAATTTTATCATAGGTACACTTCAACTGTGAGAGACGGAATCTAAAACAAAAATCCAGAAAATCACATTGTATGATTTTTAAGTAATTAATTTGCATTTTATTGCATGACATAAGTATTTGATACATCAGAAAAGCAGAACTTAATATTTGGTACAGAAACCTTTGTTTGCAATTACAGAGATCATACGTTTCCTGTAGGTCTTGACCAGGTTTGCACACACTGCAGCAGGGATTTTGGCCCACTCCTCCATACAGACCTTCTCCAGATCCTTCAGGTTTCGGGGCTGTCGCTGGGCAATATGGACTTTCAGCTCCCTCCAAAGATGTTCTATTGGGTTCAGGTCTGGAGACTGGCTAGACCACTCCAGGACCTTGAGATGCTTCTTACGGAGCCACTCCTTAGTTGCCCTGGCTGTGTGTTTCAGGTCGTTGTCATGCTGGAAGACCCAGCCACGACCCATCTTCAATGCTCTTACTGAGGGAAGGAGGTTGTTGGCCAAGATCTCGCGATACATGGCCCCATCCATCCTCCCCTCAATACGGTGCAGTCGTCCTGTCCCCTTTGCAGAAAAGCATCCCCAAAGAATGATGTTTCCATCTCCATGCTTCACGGTTGGGATGGTGTTTAGACCAAAAAGCTCTATTTTTATCTCATCAGACCACATGACCTTCTCCCATTCCTCCTCTGGATCATCCAGATGGTCATTGGCAAACTTCAGACGGGCCTGGACATGCGCTGGCTTGAGCAGGGGGACCTTGCGTGCGCTGCAGGATTTTAATCCATGACGTCGTAGTGTGTTACTAATGGTTTTCTTTGAGACTGTGGTCCCAGCTCTCTTCAGGTCATTGACCGGGTCCTGCCATGTAGTTCTGGGCTGATCCCTCACCTTCCTCATGATCATTGATGCCCCACGAGGTGAGATCTTGCATGGAGCCCCAGACCGAGGGTGATTGACTGTCATCTTGAACTTCTTCCATTTTCTAATAATTGCGCCAACATTTGTTGCCTTCTCACCAAGCTGCTTGCCTATTGTCCTGTAGCCTATCCCAGCCTTGTGCAGGTCTACAATTTTATCCATGATGTCCTTACACAGCTCTCTGGTCTTGGCCATTGTGGAGAGGTTGGAGTCTGTTTGATTGAGTGTGTGGACAGGTGTCTTTTATACAGGTAACGAGTTCAAACAGGTGCAGTTAATACAGGTAATGAGTGGAGAACAGGAGGGCTTATTAAAGAAAAACTAACAGGTCTGTGAGAGCTGGAATTCTTACTGGTTGGTAGGTGATCAAATACTTATGTCATGCAATAAAATGCAAATTAGTTACTTAAAAATCATACAATGTGATTTTCTGGATTTTTGTTTTAGATTCCGTCTCTCACAGTTGAAGTGTACCTATGATAAAAATTACAGACCTCTACATGCTTTGTAAGTAGGAAAACCTGCAAAATCGGCAGTGTATCAAATACTTGTTC